CCCCGCCCCACAAAAAAGAACCTAAATTTAGAGAAGACGCAGCATTACAAGAACACGTGACGTAGAGCGAGCAAAAGTGACGGCTGTATGTAGCTGTAGGATCCCGCCATCAGGAATCAATGCTCACGATGCTGTAATCGGAGCCGCACAGACAAATATTCCGTCTCTTTGCCACAAGTTCAGGACGTCTACGAATCTGTCTCGCTTCTCTAGGGTCAATATTGAGTTTTGGTGGACACCTGAAGATGAAGGGAAAAGGGGAGAAGTGGGGTGGTGGGGGTGAGGTGGGGGTGGGCTGGTTGCATAGCAGGAGAAGAGAGTTCAGTTTTAGTTAGAATTTTATGGCACCTGCAACACAAATAAGTCATTATAATTATGTGTGCCGAAGATTAAGGTGTGGTACTTGAAAGTACTATGCCAAAGTTAAAAAAAAAGAAAAAAGAGGAGTGGTATTGCGGTAGATGTTTGATGGAAAGATGGGGCATTCTACATCAGAGAACCTGTCAACCACACACAGCGGAGAGGAGAAAACTGATGGCCGTAGACTGGAAGATAAGGTGAGGAATGGAGGGGAACAATAAAAGGGAGAAGGGAGAGGGGGGATCATCATCCAGTGCCAGATCTGCGATAGACATCGGCGATCATGGTTCTCCATTCACTCCTTTGCTCGGATGCTCTTAAAAAAAGCTACGTTTCCCTGATCTTTCTCTGTTACACATTTGTTTAGGAGGGGGAATATGACGAAAAATAAAAGGAGAGGAAGTGAGATTACAGAAAGAAATATCAGCAAGGTGTATGAGGAAAAGAAAAATAGGGGGAATTGGGGTGATGGAAAGAAAGGAGAGGGGGGTGAGTGGCTGATAGGAGGGAAGAGGAATGGGGATTGAGGTGACACTTTGAAAGGGGACCAGAAGAGAAGGGCGAAGATGGGAGAGGGGGGTGTTGTAAAGGGATGACAGAAGGGGAGAGGCGGCCCCGGGGGGGGGGGTGAAATGGGACAGTTATGTCCCTAGAGTACCGTTTGTTCACTGGAGAGGGACTGAAGCGACCCTGGAGAGATCCTGGAGGGTATCTATTTTCGCTCAGAGTATTACGCTCCATACGTCACTGCTATGGTGGCAACCCGATGATGGTCAAGAGACTGACCCGTCGCCCTGAATCCAAGAGGGTCTTTGACCTTTCTGCGACGTGGTGGCGCATTTGTGAGCACACTTTTGTGAGTATAATTATACAAACACACATAAATATAAATAAACCATACCCCCCCCAATTTTTTCTCTGTCTGTCTGTCTGTCTGTCTGTCTGTCTGTCTGTCTGTCTGTCTGTCTATGTGTGTGTGTGTGTGTGT